GGGAGCAGTATGGTCGGAAGGGGGATTGCTGGAGACGGTTGGAACCGTGTATCAAGTCGTATTTCGAGGAAAACGCGGGTCAAGTGTGGACGAAACTGTGGGACCGTACGGGACGGTCGAGGACGCCTAGTGCTAGGCGCCGCCGTCGCCGTCAGCCTGAGAAGAAGGGTTGCTTTGACTTTTCGTCGTTGTACAAACCGTATGCCGAAGTACTGGGAGACGTGGAGTTCTACCCTGAGCGTGAAGAGGACATTTCTCATTACGTAGAGGTGCGAGCTTCCGGCTCGGACACCGTTACCAAGGACCGGTCTCGTGGAAGTTGTCACGGTCAACTTGCCCAACGGATTTGGACTCTGTGAGGAGGATGGAGATGAGTGTGACGTGTATCGCGCTGTTGAGGACGGACGCCGGGTGGTGTGTGCTGTTGGCAACTTTGAGGCTCTCTCGAGCGGTTATATTGACTGCTTACCGTCTCAAATGCTAGCGGATACTGGCGCTACTCTAAGTCTCGTGGATCGACGCGTGCTGAAGCGTTTAGGACGGTCGTCCGAGCCGCTGGAACCGTACGAGGGCCTGGTGAGGAGCTCCTCGGGGCACAAGTTGCGGATTCGTGGTTGGATTACCCTCTCTCTCCGTCTTGGAACGGTTGAAGTCTCGATGAGCTTGTTGGTTGCTGACCGTCTCCACGTCGATGCGATCCTGGGTGTTGATGCCCTAGGAGCATTCGGTGCCGTAATCGACGTTTCAGAACGGACGTTGACTCTGAAGAGTACGGGCGAAGTGTTGACGCTGGGTTTCACCATGGTGCAGGAGTCGTACATGACGACGATGGCGACGTCGGTGCGGTTGCCGCCGCGTGGCCAAGCTCTCGTGATGACTCGTGTCGTGGGAGCCGTCGTCGACAAGGCGACCGTTCTGGTCGAAGGATCTTTGGGTCTGTCTCCGACGCTGTGCGTGGCACGGTCGTTGTGCACGGTCGAGAAAGGCCAGGCCATCGTCGAAGTCTGTAATGCGTCTACGGATGAGTACTGGATCCGGAAAGGAACGGTCATTGCGTGCACTTCCGTGATCCCGGAGTCGGCTTTCGAGCCGCCAACGGTCGATCCGAAGGGTGTGGAGCGTCAAACGGTTGGTCCGAAGGGAACGGTGCCAGCCGAAGGTGGCGAGCCCAAGGGGGAGTGTGCAGCGTCAGTGTCTGAAGCGCGCGAAGTGGGCGTCGGCGAGAAGGTGAAAGCTACGAAGCCGGACATCCCGCCCGACAAAGCGGAAGCTATGAAGGCCGATTTCTCGGAGTCTAGACTGTCGCCGGAGCAGAAGGAACTGTTCCAAGGAGAACTGAACGGTTTCCACAGCATGTTTGTTGACTCTTCTAAGAAGCCCGGACGGACGGATCTGTTGCAATTCGAGATCGACACCGGTGACAGTGCTCCGATCAAGCAGCAGCCGCACCGTGTTTCGTTAGCTGAAGGTGAAGTCATGGAAGCGGAGATCCAGCAGTACTTGGAGCTGAACCTGATTCGACCCTCGAACAGTCCGTGGGCGAGCCCCGTCCTGATGATTCGGAAACCGGACGGTGGAATACGATTCTGCATCGACTACCGTAAGTTGAACGCGGTAACGGTGAAGGACTGTTACCCCATGCCGTTGATTGATGATATTCTGGACGTGTTGGGCGACGCTCAACTGTTTCGACGATTGATATCGCTTCTGGCTACTGGAACGTGCCGATGCACCCGGACAGCGTGTCTAAGACCGCTTTCAAGCCCCACCATAAAACTTCTCGATCATCTTCATATCGCGCCTCAACTATATGGCGTTTTGGACGTCCTCAGGATACCTACCAGACAAGGTTCTCTAAAACGAGGTATTTCCGCGTGATCGTGCATTCTGTTCTTCAAAACGAGCTTTCTGACCGAAACGGAAGTTTTCGGCGCTGGCATTTCTGGTGCTTCCTCCTCACAAGGTTTCTTCGTTATAGCAAGTGCCAAACCACTTTTGGGAAAGTCGTGCTCGTCGTCAGGGCTCGGAAAAATAATTATAATATAATAATTATAGTATTATATTGACGGAATAACTTATTATTGGATTTTCCGGGTTTCCGTAAAATATGATATTGTACCAATAATAAGTATATTGAGTTTTCACCAGATTTCAGTTGTTAAGACACTAAAGTTCCCGGTTAGAACTCATTTATATGCCCCAAATGTTAGTTTTACGGTTCAGTATTGTCCCAATAATACACAATAATAATTATAATTATTATTACGGGAGCCTCAAGAAATGGAATTACGGATTATTTTTTCTTAGATTCCCAATACAATTTTATATTTTATTTTCCGAGCCCTGCTCGTCGTGGGAAGCTGGAACTCGTTCATTCTCCAAACAGGAACCCGGAGGCAACAAAATAAATCCACACTGGGTCTCAGCCAACCGGGACAATAGGTCTCGATAGAATTCAACTTTGAATGAATAGTCTTTGGAGTGTGTTAATTGAACAAAACGGACCAGCATTTTTTGGTATGCCCCGCTTGCAGGTTGTTGAGCTTCTTCATTTACGAAGTGTCAAATTTGTTTAGCAGCATCTTGTCCAGATCAATGTCGTCTGGCATCCAAGCGCCACACTCCGTCTCAGAAAAAGCTACAGATTTTTCGCATCGACACCCTTCAGACTGTTCGCGTCGCCTTGATCGTCCTGTAAATGTACACGATCTCCACTTTCCGATGCGGAAATGAGGGGAATATTCGGGGTCGAAGATGCCGATTGACGAGAAGAAAGCAACAGATTGACAGGAAAACACTTGAGAAATATCCGAAAACCCTCACTCAAGCGATTAAGCTACGACGCTAAAATTGTTGGCTTTACGTTTACCGATGCGACGTATCCGCACCGCCACTTAGGTCGTGTGCAAGAACCGCCTTCCTGTTTTTGGAGGCTGGCTTCCGCATGTGTGGAAACGTATCGACGACTATTTGTCTGGCAGCATGGGTCACGAAGCTCTGAGCGCTGCCTGCGGGGCTGGGGCCTCGAAAAACACTTTGGACTACCTATTAGAGAAGACGGCACCTGACTGGAGGGAGGCCGTGGAAGGTGCCGTGTGTGGAGGGCAAATGCACGTGCTCTGTTGGATGACGGAGCGTGTAGACGGCCGTGGACCCTGGCAAGAAGATTTTGAAAACGGGCTAGAATATGCAGCAAGCCACGGCCACCTCGGTGCCGTCCAGTGGTTGTTCGAGCGCTGGCACACGCAATGGAACACTAATGAATCTATGGCGGATTACACCGACAAGGCTTGCTGTGTGGACGGTGCAAGGCACAGGCATTGCTGCTGGCAGCGGAACACGGACATTTCGAGGTGGTGCAGTGGCTTTATACTCGAACGGATTTGTGCAGCGGGGGCTATAGCCCAATGAGTAGAGCAGTCGCAAACGGACATCTTGCCATTGCGCAGTGGCTGCACTCTAAGGACACAGACGAAGAGTGCTCTAGCGAAGCCGTTGACGAAGCAGCTGGGAGTGGGCACTGCACTGGCTGGAAGCGCACCACCTTTTCACTTGTACGAAGGACGCAATGGATGGAGCTACGCAAAATGGCCACTTGGACGTGGTGAAGTGGCTACACCGAGTTCATCACGAATGCTGCTCATCAGAGGCTATGAGTCTAGCGATCCGATACGGTCACCTGGAGTTGCTCAAGTGGTTTTACAGCAACGTTCACAACAAATGTCACCGTTTCCACCCACCAATGATTTTAACATTTGCGGATAGAGAGGGTCATTTAGACATGCTGAAATGGTTGCACGCACACCTTCCTAAAGCCTTCTCTTGCATTATGATGGACACAGCGGCAAAGAATGGCCACCTGGATGTTGTCACGTGGCTGCATAGGCACCGACGGGAAGGGTGTTCCGAAAGCGCCCCGAGACAGGCTGCGCAGAATGGGCACTTTGAAGTCTTGAAATGGCTCCACGCCCACTACCTGTTGCAAATATGGTGAACCCCCGTCCAGACAGGACTTCGTTTAGGGGCACCACGTTGCGGTCGGAGGAAGCGTAGGAGAAGGATACGGACGGAGGACTTTGACAGGGACTCCGCCAGGCGATACTGAGCTTGTAGACGTTGTTGGCAGGACTTGTGCAATAGAGGGAAAATATCAAAGTGTGTATTGTGGGGGCTCGCTAGCTCTACCTACTGCCGAGGGTCGCGAGATCTTCTCGAGTGGTTTCGAGATCTCGGCTCGAGTGGCTTCACGATCTTTGCCTTTAGGGTCGTCCGTTGCTTTCTTCTACAAACTTACCTTCACGGAACAGTTTAGTTCCGTGACACGACCTCCGTTGAAGTAGACTTTCCCCGCCCGAAATATTGTTGGACTAGTCGCACTCCATTCGACCCGTGCTTGGTTCTTGAACGAAGTCGCTCTGATGATCTTGTCGGCAAATTGTTGGCTCGTCGATGGTATTCGCGAATGAGCCCTGGTACTGACAGCAAATTTGAGGTCGGCTCCCAGGTAATATCGTCACTGCGACCCACCCACTTGCACTTGTACGTTTCCTTGCCCTCTTTTGTGATGCGATGGTCCAGAATCGTCTCGATCAGATGACCTTCTGTGCCGTCCTTGAGTCGAACCGTGGGGATGGTGCTGTCACGCTGAGCGCCGGTAGTGTCTTTCCGGAATTTTTTCAGCACCATGGTGTGGAAAACCGGGTGAATGCCCAACTCCTTTGGCAGATTTAGCTCATAGGACGCGCCGTCGTGCAACACTGCGATAACTTCGTAGGGCCCAACCCACTTGGCTGCGAATATTCTCCTGACCGCCCCGACCGTCACTGGGTTGAAGTTCTTGGTGGAGATCAAAACCATGTCGCCCACGTCGAATTTCTGGTCTCGTCGCCCTCGATCATACAGAAGCTTCATTTTTCAGCTCCCATGCGAACCTTGGCCTGTAACTCTCGGAGAATCTTGTCCTGCTGTTGTACAAACGCCACTGCCGGTGTTTTTTCGAGGTCCGCAAGTTGAGTATCTGCTGGAACGCGCGGATTGTACCCAATATCCGCGTAGAATGGAGACATGCCGATCGTCGCCTGGTACTGGCGATTGTAGGCAAATTCTGCCAGCGCCAAGTGGACATTCCAGTCGTTCTGATAGCCGCTTACATAGTGCCGGAGGTAGGTTGACAAGATAGCATTTGTCCGTTCAACTTGCCCATCCGTGCGCTGGTGGTGAGCCGTTGCCAGATTCAGCTTGGTCCCCAGCAATTTTGCGCACTCTCCCCAGAACTTAGACGTAACTTTGGAGTCTCGATCCGACGTCTGCTGGCAGTCCATGTAGACGCACGTAGTGATCGATAAAAAGTTTTCCGAGCGACTCCGCAGATATGTCACTCACAGTTGGTACGAAATGGGCCCTTTTTGTCAGTCGATCTGCAACGACCATGATTGAGTCGAACTCGGTGCTTGTCTTTGGTAGACCCGTCATGAAGTCGATGCCAATCAAGGACCATCGAGCCGTTGGGACTTCTAGTGGGTGCAGTAACCCTGGAGGTTTTCCGGGCCGCGACTTGTTCCGTTGACAGGATTCACACGTCGCCACGTACTCTTTTACGCGTTTCTGCCATTTTCTCCAGTAGAAGCGTTCGGCAACAGCTTGACTTGTCTTTTCAACGCCTGGGTGGCCTGCTGTAGCAATGTCGTGTAGTTCCCAGAGGACCGTGTTCTGGATCTCGATGTCCTCGGCTGGGATGAAGATCTTTAGTCGCCCCTGCGTGCGATACAGCGCAATTTGGTTCTTTTCATCGAACACAAATGCGCCTGGCGCCTCGACCTCCTTCTGAACGCCCCAATCTCTGGTGATCCCTGCACGCCGCTGAGCTCTCCGTATTAGTTCCTTTAGAGTAGCTGGTTTCAGACGACGGACTGCACATATTTGCTTGTTCTTGCAATCCAAGAAATCAATTTCAAAGTCCTGTCGCCGGCTCAATGCATCAGCAACAACGTCGGTTACTCCAGGAATGTGTCGAAAACGCAGGTGAAACTCTGCAAGCTGGTCGTACCACCTACAAATGCGCCGGTTAATAGTTTTCTGCGTCAGGACGCGCTCGAGGGAGTGATGATCCGTTTCCACCGCACCCTCCATCGAGAAGATAAACGTGCCAAATGTTCAAACAGTGAACGATTGCCAGCATCTCCTGCTCGTGTGTAGGATAGTTCAGCTCCGCTGAATTCATCTTTCGGCCACAGAACGCTACTGGTTTCTCCACTTCTCCTGTTCCGTCGCTCGCCTGTACATGCTGCAGCAGAACCCCACCGACCGCAAATCGAGAAGCACCAGTGCGGAGCAGGAAAGGTTTTGAAAAGTCAGGTAATGCCAACACTGGTGTCTTGCTGAGTGCGTCTTTCAACGCCTCAAAGGCTTCAACACGATCTGGTGTCCACTCCAACTCCTTCTTGTCCTTCTTTTTGACCATTTCGAAAAGAGGAGCGCTGATTTCCGAGTAGCGATGGCAGAATCTCTGCACGTAGACGGTAGTTCCCAGGAATGACTGCAAGTTCCGAATGGTTTTAGGGAGAGGCCACTCACGAACGACACGAACTTTATCTGGGTCGATTCGAACTCTGTCGCGGCCAACAAAATCACCGAGGCAAGGAATTTCCTGAGCGCAAATCATTGACTTTGACAGCTTCAGGTACAGTTTTTTCTTGCGACACCGCTCGAACACGCGCCGCACAGCGGCAAGATGAGAGTCAATGTCCTTGCTCTTGGTGAAGACGTAAATGTCGTCGAAGTACGTCGCCACGCACTCACGCATGTCCTCGAATATCCTTTGCACGATACGGTTGAATGTTGCTGGGGCATTACTCAGGCCCATCGGGACTGCGATGTACTCAAATAGGCCATCGGGAGTCTGGAACGCAGTGTAGGGTATATCTTTTGCTCTCATACGCATCTGATAGTAGCCTGAAAGCAAGTCGAAGCATCTGTACCAGAACGCGCCGCTCATCCGGTCGAAAATGGCGTCCTTTCTCGGCATTGGTGTTGATTGCCGGACTGTCCTTGCGTTCATCGCTCGGTAATCGTGTACCACTCGCCACCCTACCGGCTTCTTGATACAAAAAGTTGGTGCACCGTGCGGAGATATGCTCGGGCGGATTAATCCTGCTCGAAGCATTTCCTTCACCCACTCACGAAGTGCGCGTTCCTGATCTGGGCTAAGTCGCCACTGCGGCTGGTACACAGCCCCCGTTCCAGGCAGAACCTCCATCTCGTGCTCACCGTGCACGGGTAGGCCTGGTGGGAGCTCGTTCTTGAAAATGTCATCAAATTCACACACGAGCGGGTAACCAGGTGTACCTCGAAAGCTTTCTTTGTCTGTCTTGACTTGGCGCACCTGTTTTTCGAGCTGCTTACTTGCTTGTGCGAAGCGCAACGCCCCCGACTCCTTTCCGTCCTCTTTCAACACCTCGATATAGAGCGCGTTTATGGTCTCCTCAGGAAGTATTGCCACGAACTCCACGTCGCGTTTTCGGATGATCTTGTCCGCCTGCTTTAGAGTGATGTGCTTCGTGAACCCGAAACGCTTGATGTAGTAAAAGCGTCTTTCAGGCAGCAACGGGGGCAGATTTGGCAGCGGTTTGGCCTGTTGCTCAGCTTTATGAGCGTCCTCCTTGACCTCTTGCACGAAAGCTTCCTTGGAGAGGATCCGATCAGTTTCCCAGTCGATTATTGGCCGCGCCAGTCGTTTCCACGGCACACCTAACATGAGCTCACACTTGTTCGGGATATGACATAGGTAGAACTCGTACTTAATAGCTGGAAGCTCTTCGACGAAGACGGTCAGTTGGATGGTTCTCTGACGCACAGACTCGGTCTTCCCGTTGGCATACGTCACCTCCATTGCTCCATGATCCACCACATCGCTCATCCAGCCTTGGCTCTCCACAAAACGCTCCGAAATTCCGCAAAAATCTGCTCCTTCATCAAAAAATGTTCTCGCAGGTGCCGATCGTGCATTTTTCTCGCAGCGCACTGTTTTGATCAAGTAGCGCTCAGGTGTCAGGCTTCTTTCGCCTTCACCTGTCTGGAAATACATGCTGTTCGCTCTCGTCCCCGGATCAAACACACGATACTGGTCACCACTGTTGGCTTTGTTCGGTCTTAAGCCGCCACCCTCAAGACCCCTTAGTTTAAATCCGACTTGATCTTGGCCAGATCAGTCTGGATCGCGTTCAGCACCGCCCACATGTTGCTGTTGTCGTTCTGAGGGGCTGAATTTCGGGACGATGCCGTGGCGGCGGCAGCTCCTGCTCGTCGCCCACCACTTTCTTTGAACCAAGCCGGACGGAGTTCGGGATGCAGCACCCAACACTTGTCTTTTGTATGCCCCTTCTCGAGGCAACGTGTCGAGCTGCATTTCCCGGTTTCAATGGGCATGGGTTTTGCCGATGCAGGTTTCTTCTTGTTACTGCTTGGCCCGTTGTCTCTCCCTGCCTTCTGTGACTCGGTCGTCGACTCCCGAGGATTAAAGGACCGAGCCGCGTCCACGAGCTCTTCTAGTGACTCGTACGTCTGCGTCTTTAGCAGTTCTTTTAGTTGGCTCGACCGCAGCCCTTTCTTGAACTTGATCATCTTGTACTTTTCCGATACATCATCAGTGCGGCCAAGTCGCTGAAATTCGTCGATGTATGCCTCTAACGAGCGGTTTCCTTGGCTACAGTCGAAGAAACTCGCAACCAGATCTTCTTCACGGATCGAGTCACGAAACGTTGCTTCATCTTCTTCACGATATGGCTCCAGCGTCGTTGACCTTTGTAGTCCTGGAGTAGCCACTTCTTTGCCTTGCCTTTTGTATGGTTCAGCATCAGCTCGCCAACGCGCCAGTCTACTTGTGCCTGAGCGAGGTAGAGGCCGTAGGCGGCATACCACGAGATCATGTTTAGCACGTAAACGTCGATATCGTCGTCGTTGGTCCCTCCGTACATAGGAGTTTCCTTTTGCTTCATGCACGCTGAAATTCGACTTTCCAGCTCCGCGTTGGTGAAATTTGGGGTGTGGGGTGAACGTTGGCCCACAACATCCCAATCAGCATACAGTTCGTCATCCGGCACGGCCATGCCTGGATTATTAGTCGACTGGCTAGCACCGTGGAGCCCTTGGATTCGAACGGTTTGTTGTAGCGACTCCATTTCACCCCGCAGTGAAGTAAGGTCAGCTCGCTGACTCGCCGTTTCTTAGTCACTCCGAACTGCAAAGGTCTGAATCTGGTTGATCACCTCGTGAAGCAGGGCTTGGTTTGCCTTGATCTGCTCCATGTTCTGGTTCTGCCGTCGTTCCATGCGTGTTGCGAACGCAGCCACGGCCTCCGTGAGACTGGTCTGGTCCCGAATCAGCGTGTGCAGTGTTTGCTCCAGCGCTTCCAGGTTGTCCAGTACAAGTCGTAGCCTGCCAATCTCGCCCGCGTCGAGTGGTCGGTTGTCCTCTGCTCCGCCGTTCTCGCCCACGTTGGCCGGTTGGTTGGCTTCTGCCGCGTCGATCTCGTTGCCGACATCGCTCATGCTAGCGCCTTCCACTTCAAGGTCTACTATGTTGCAAATATGGTGAACCCCCGTCCAGACAGGACTTCGTTTAGGGGCACCACGTTGCGGTCGGAGGAAGCGTAGGAGAAGGGTACGGTCGGAAGACTTTGACAGGGACTCCGCCAGGCGATACTGAGCTTGTAGACGTTGTTGGCAGGACTTGTGCAATAGAGGGAAAATATGAAAGTGTGTATTGTGGGGGCTCGCTAGCTCTACCTACTACCGAGGGTCGCGAGATCTTCTCGAGTGGTTTCGAGATCTCGGCTCGAGTGGCTTCACGATCTTTGCCTTTAGGGTCGTCCGTTGCTTTCTTCTACAAACTTACCTTCACGGAACAGTTTAGTTCCGTGACACTACCCGACTCAGTTTCAACCAGTTGCAGTAAATGCAGCAGTTGAACGCGGCGATCTCGAGGCTGTCCAGTGGCTGCTCGATAACTGTCCCGAGGAATATGAGCGTGATGCAATGCACTACGCCGCAACTAGTGGCCGCTTGGACATCTTCCTGTATCTGCTTGAGCACCGAACTCAAGCGTTCCTGGATTTTACGGTGTATGATTAGGTGTATGACGCGCAAGATAACCAAGTATTGTGCCGCTTTGACTTTGAACCCCGTGCATATCGACGCGTCAATCGACCAAGCAGGGATCAACGGAGGATGGTGCAGAGTGTTTTCGAGCAGCGTCCAGCATATCTTTGCGGTGTCTAGCGGCGGTTGCGTGTTGGAAAGGCAACATCGCAATTCTGGACTGGGTGAACCAGTTTGGAATAGAGCTGCGTTCGACGGCACCTATCTGAGCCGCTGTTAGCCGTGGTGACGTTAAATTGTTGCAGTGGTTTTGGGAGAACGGGTTTGAGATTACAAATCCGAAGCTGCTCGAGGTTGCAGTTCGTAGCCGTCATCTAGAAGTAGTTCGGTGGTTGTCGGAGCACGGGTACAGTGGATTCCCTCAAGTTGGCCAAGATTGCAGCAAAATACAAAAATGCGGTGGCTGGTTGAACATGGCTCACCCCTTGACGTGCCAACCGCAAGAACGGCAGTCTTAGACTACGACCGCATCGAGCTCGCTTGGTGGGTAGCTGAGGACGTCCGGAGCCACCTTGTGTATGATACACTGGACAGGGATTGGAAAAAATATATTGGTCCAATACCAATACCGCCATATGCCAATACAATACGATACTGTATTGCAGATTGTATTGCAATACGATATTGCGGAGTCCCTATGTATTGCAATAATATATTGTCATATAACGAGCAATACTATATTGTAGGTGTATCTCAAAGCCAATTCACTGTGGTGCAGCTGCTTGAGGCAGCGTTCGCGGCCCTGGCATTTACGTATCGCTACGGCAACCGTTTTGCTCGCCCAAAGAGCAGGATCGACGCTAAGGACGCGCGTTATCTAGGTGAAGACTACTGGACACGATGCTGCTTGTACTGGAGGGGGGGGTACGAATGTAGTGAGTTGGTCTCTGCCTCGTTCCTCCTATTCCAACACCTTCGGGCAAAAATAACATTAGCCAACCTTGAACCGCGCTTCCCCGTACACTTATCACAAGGTACGATGGACTTAGAACCTTCACAGGCATATAGTTGACCACTTCTAACAGATGCGTAGTATTGCAATACAGCTTTGCAATACTGTATTGCAGGCGAACGGTAGATTGCAATACGGGATTGCGGTGAAGACATGCAATACCAATGCTGTATTGTACTGCATGGTGGATTGCAATCCATACTGCAATGCTTACTAACGCTGAAAAATGCTGGCCAACATATTTTTTCCAATCCCTGACACTGGGCAACAATGATCACTCCACTCTATGGTGGATGCTCACGCGGACGCAGTTTCGAGACGAAAGCGTACAACGGAGCATCCGTGGAGCCATCCAGTGCTGTCCAGAGGATACTTACCGGTGGCTTCGAGATAATTTGAGGGATGTGGAGGCTTGCCGCTGGTGTTTCTCGACATCAAACAAGAGGCGGAACCACAAAACTGAAGAAAGAGGTCCATCATCTACGAGAGGCAGACGTTGTGATGAACAGGGACGTTCAGGACATCGGTTAGCTTTTTATCCTGGCTGAAGCATAGTGTTGTCATTGTTTGGAAGCAAAAACAGAAACACAACCGGAAACTTAACAAATTTGCACGTCTTTAGTATCCATGTATTTCTGATAGGCGTATCAGCTTGTCTGTGTCCTGGCTCCAGGTCTGACGGGCGAGATACTGTACAATGTCGGTGAAGGTTCAGCACTATATTTGCAAAAAATACATTTTTTTCAAACTTTTGTAGCTCGCTCATTCGATAGCAGGTCTGGAAAGGTGAACAACGTGCAGTTAAATATACAGGTCTCAACTTTGAATAAATAGTCCTTCGAGCGTGTCAACTGAACAAAACGAACAAGGGTCCGTGTGTCGCTCTCTGACAGCTCACAAGTAAATTGCTCCGCAGCCGCCTTGATTCCACTCCGAGGGGGCCAGCCATCCTGAAAGTCCAGTTGTATACCACCATGAGGGTCGAAAGAGAGGATAATTTCATCTCCGTCTGCGCTGATCCTCGTAAGGATCTCCACCTTGAATGGAGAAGCATTGAACACGGTACCGGCAAGAGATGCGAAGAGCCACAGCTCCAACCTATATCCGATGTGAAAGGGGTTTTTCTCGATTTGAGCGTGTGATGGAGTGGAGTTTGGTACGGCCTACAAACAAAGCGAACCCTCTCACCACAAATGAACTCAGCAGACGCCGTGCTGGTGCATACATCCCGCATCCAAAAGGTTCCGGGGTGATACCATGCGAGCAGCTGATTCGTCGCTGTACAAGACACGTCGACGGTCAATCCACTTCTGAAGCTGTCGACATCCTTCACATTGTGAAACACGGGCTCTCAGACTGGACTTCGCTGGTTCCACGTCGGCGTCTTACTACAAGCAGATGGACCACGCGATCTCCAAGCGACACGTCTCGCCTAAAGTGGTCCAGGTTGGTTGACTTCGCTGCCATCCACTGTCACCGAAAACGCCATGCCAACGATGGCACAGGAAATCTCCACCATCTTTCCTTGAGGCGGCAGATTCTGAAAGTGAGAATCGCCCAGTTGATATTGTAGAGGGATCCGATTGACTTAACTACAGTAGAGGCGATTCGTGATTTTTTCCTCGTTTTTTTATTCTTGCAGTACAACCGACATTGTGCAGTATTTCTACTGTTACTGAGTGACAGACACAGACAGGCAGCTTTTGCGCTTACTAATGAGCCTTATAGTACATTAGCTGATGGAGAGGGCAAGACGAATGAAAAAAATGAAGGCTGTGACATCCCATCAGACGAGTACAATGCACTTGACCGCCACAACCAAATTCGAGTTACCATGCAGCAGACCTCATGCATTCGCAGAGCCACGTCAGTCGTGTGCAAGACGTTCCACCATGCGACGGGAAGTTGGCTTTCGCATGTGATAGAATCCATTGACGACTATTTGACTGGGAGCTTGGCCCACAACATTCTCAGCGCTGCGTGCGAGGCAGGCGCCTCAAACACCACTTTGGACTACCTCTTAGAGAAGACCGCACCTGTCTGGAGCGAAGCCGTAAAAGCTGCCATACGAGGAGGGCATGTGCATGCGCTTCGGTGGATGACGGAGTGTGAAGACTGCCGTGGATCCTGGAAACGTGATTTCTTCAAAACTCTGGAGCTTGCAGCAAGACACGCTCACCTTGATGTCGTGAAATGGCTGCTTGAGAGAGGAATTGACCGGCGTGTATTACTAGGTGCCTGGGAAGACTCGACAAGATGGATCGAAAAGTCTTGGCTGTATGAATATTGCGCGGCAGATGCATTGAGCCTGGCAGCGGAGCACGGGCATCTGGAGGTGGCGCAATGGATCTATGGCGCACGGGCGGACACAAGCTGCTGCTGGGTCTGTATTCCAATGAGCAAGGCTGTCGCAAACGGGCATCTTGACAGCGTGCAGTGGCTGCATACGGTCAAAGGAGGACAATGCTTTGCTCGAGCTGTCGACAAAGCGGCTGAGAATGGGCACCTCGAAGTGATGGAGAGGCTGCATTTGAACCATCCCTTCTGTTGTACGACGGCTGCGATGAATGGAGCGGTGGAGAATGGACACTTGGAGGTAGTCAAGTGGTTGCACCGAGTTCGTCACGAATGCTGTTCGTCGCAAACTCTGTGGCGAGCAGTCAACCGTGGCAGTCTAGAGCTGATCGAGTGGCTTTATGAAAACGTGTACGGTAAGTGTTATCTTGACGCTGGGCCGGTGAGTGCAACCACTGCTGCTGAACAAGGGCGCTTGAACTTGGTAAAATGGCTGCATACACATTTTCGTGAGGGTTTCTCGGCATCTGCGATGGAGGCTGCCGCAGGAAATGGGCACATGGGTTTTATCAAGTGGCTGCATGAACATCGCAGCGAGGGGTGTACCGATGCGGCTCCATTTAGGGCTGCTCAAGGTGGACATTTGGAGATTTTAAAATGGCTTCACATGCACTATTCCAATACGTTTTTACCTACAACAATGGATGCAGCAGCTGAAAACGGGCAGTTTAAAGCCGTTCAATGGTTGCATGGAAATCGCTCTACTGAGGCACTGTTTGCTGCCGCCATTAACGGCCACCTCGACACTTTCCTGTACCTACTTGAGCACCGACCGGAAGGTTTTTACCATGCCGTAAGCTGTAACTTTGATGCTGATGTGCTTGACTGCCATCGACGCTCCCACCCGGCAACGGGAGACCAATTAAAGATGCTTCAGAAAGTTTTCAAGCAAAATCAAGCTTTTGTTCGAAATTGTTTACGGATGCTAGCGGAGACAGCGTGCAACGCGGGGAATGTCGGGATACTGGACTGGGTTAACCAGTTTGGCATCGAGCTGCGATCCACAGAGCATATCGAAAACGCTGTCATGCACGGTGACGTCAAAATGTTGCAGTGGTTTTTCGAGCGTGGGTTTGAAGTAAGGGATCCAGAGCTGCTTGAATTGGCGGTTGAAAGCGGTCAGTTAGAAGTTGCTCGTTGGTTGGTGGAGCACCGTCTTGCTGTGATTTCACTTGAGCTGGTCACGATTGCTGGAGATATTGAAAACGAGGCGATGATGAGGTGGCTGGTTGAGCACGGGCCACCGCTTGATGTGGCAACAGCAATGCGGTTGGTGTTTGACTATCATTACGTCGAGATTGCTTTGTGGTTATCGGAGGACGTCCGGCAACATCTCGTTCTTGAGGCGTTACGTAAAGCTAACCACAAGGTTATGTGGTGGATACTCTCCAAAACGCAGTTTCAAGATGGAGCTAAAAGCTGCATTTGTGATGCCATCCAGTGCTGTCCGAAGAAGGCGCAATTATAGATTGAAGAGAATCTGGGTGTCGTGGAGACTTGTCGCTGGTGTTTCAAGAGGCAACTGGATGCAACCGAGGCGACCGCTGTATTTGAAACGAAGCAATGAAGTTTCGCCAAGCACGCTGGTATCGAGAAGCCTCCTTCCAAAAGAGCGCGAACTGAGACTCTTGACGCCGAGGCGGAAATCATCGCAGAAGCTCAAACTTACACAACAGATAACCGCGGCAGAGCTCTCACGCTCCTGGAACGTATTGACGTCCTCATCGTCACAGCCAACTTGAAGTCTGGCGCTGTCAACTTACGTCAGATAAAGCCACTCGCAGTCAAAGTTGGCCGTCTGTTGTCGCGCTCAGCCAACACAGTCCGTCAGATTTGGAATGACTTTGCCAAGTATCGGTCTCTACCCGTGGCATCGGCGCCATCTAACCGTGAGCAGAAGCCGTCCCGTATATTGGCGACTGTTGATATGGAGAGGTCTGTGCGCGAGTTTATTCGTGAGCGCAGCGCGATTCGTGAGAGCACGGTTGCCAAGGACGTCATGCACCACCTCATACAGCAAGAGTTGTTAGTCACCGACAGTGCCGCTACGGCCCCAGCACTCCGCACCGTCCAACGCTTCGTAAAACGATGTGGTTTCAAGCGGGGAAAGCGGAAAGGGTCGACATATCGGTTGTCAGCTGAAAACGAAGCTAAGCGCGATAGCTACGTGCAGATGATGGCATGTGAAAGTGCCGATCGCGTTCGAACGGTTTATCTCGACGAAAGTTATATACATCACAACTACTCCAGTCATAATGACTCCCTTTATGACCCGACGGACCCCAACGTGATAAAGGAGAAACAAAAGGGTCGCCGATTTTGCTTCATCGCTGCCATTATCGACAAAGACCGTAACCTCCCGGATGCCGATCATACTGAGGCTGACAAAGCACAGTTTTTGCCGGAGATGCTTGACATTTTTGAGGGATGCAAGCAAACTAAGGATTATCACGGGATGTTCAATCATGACTACTTCAAAAATTGGATTGAAACGCTGCTCGTTTGTCTGGAAGACCGCCAACTGCACCACTGCCGCATCGTGATGGATAACGCAAAATATCACAAGAAGTTGCCGCCCAACACCCCCCGAAAAGGGAGTCGGAGATCCGACATGCAGGCTGCTTGTAAGTTGTATGGCTTGCCTTACGCTGAATCTGATACAAGGGCGATCATGTGGGAAAAGTTGTCACGGCACATTGCTGAGCACGTAGAGCCAGAGATTGTGACTATGGCGAAGAAGAAGGGCCACGAAGTAGTGTTCACGCCTCCACACTACTCTGATTTACAGCCGATTGAGTATGTGTGGGCAAATGTAAAGGGAGAAGTTGGGCGCCAGTACACCAAGGATACTACATTCCAACAGGTCAGAAGTAGGCTTGATACAGCTTTCAAAACTTTGTCGTCGAAAACTGTTCAAGGCTGCATTGACAAAGCAAGAGCCCACTTGGTGGATCTGAATGCTCAGATCAAAAGTTATGATAGCCGCAGTGAAAACGAGGGTTCGGACAGCTCCGAGAGCGACGAAAGGTGTGCTAGTGATGACTACACTAGCTAATATTTTAGATAGCCATAAGTAAGTCTAGACACTGATTCTAAGAAATATGATCCGATACATTTGTAGCCCTGTACGTCATCTTTCGATCTATCGGTGGAAGAATGAGGATAACGAGCATCCGTCCAGAGTATCATTTCTCTACGATCATGACTCTGCGACTAATCCGCTGCCTTATCATTGGCCGAGAAAAACCACAGGGGTGGTAATGATTGGCCCAAATGCAAGGCATATTTATAATCAGCGCACATATTAAGGGGTGGTTATTATATAAATCAGGGAAAATTGGACTGCTGTTTCTGTGGAAACGACGCCGTGCTAAACAGTGAGACGCACATTTTCGCAATCAGGGAAGCGAGGCGGTTTTTGTGATACCAAAACATGTAGGGGTTAGAAAAAACCTCTCGATCGTGTCGTGGACTGTGAAGTCGGTCGAAACCCTGCTACCGACGTGTGCACCGTGATATCTCGTGAAATCAGTGACCGCTTGGAACTTGAGATCCCCTGGTAGCCTAATTGCTGGAGGCGGCCCTGCAGAATGTAGCGCGATAACAACCGTCTTCTCTGAGTTCACACTAAGCCCACTGGCGGTGCTGAAATTTTGCGTAATAGCGAGTAACTGGGGGATTTCTGCCGGAGATGCCAGATAGGCCGTAGTATCATCCGCGTACCCACCGACTCGTAACTCGATTTCCCGCTCTGCCGCTCGGAGCCGGATGCCTCGAAGCCCTTTGGCAGAGTCAATTGCTCTGTAGTACGGGTCCAACGCCAGAATGAATATTAAAGGCGCTAGAGGACAGCCCTGACGTATTCCTGTCGTGACTGGAACCCATCTCGATCTGCGGCCATTGACCAAAAAGCGCACTCGCGTGCCGGCGTGAATGCTCGCAATAGCGCGGACAAATTGGGCGGGGTACCCGTGCGCTTCCAGTGCTCGAATTAGGTATCGTCGACCCAATGAATCGTAAGCCTTGTGGAAATCGAGTAAGATTGCTAGAGCTTCTCGCTGCTCTTCATCCATATTCGCCATGTGCTGTGCAGCTTCGAACAGGTCAATTGTATCATGTATTTGTCAGCCAGGCACAAAACCCTTTTGGTGATGGTGAACGCGATCTGGCAGCGTCTTGCTCACCCGTGTAGCCAGGATCCGAGTGAAAATTTTGTAGTCCGAATTCAATAAAGCCAACGGTCGGTAGTTTAGTGGATTTGATTGATCCCCCTTCTTCTTTAGACAAAAAATGTCGGTCTCCAGAAATGATGGCGGGAAGACGCCAGCCCGATACCAAAGGTTAAGCAAAATAGTCAGGATGGGGGCAAGGAGCGCCTTGAAGTCGCGGTACCAATCATTACCGAGGGTATCAGGACCGCACGCTTTCCTAGCGTGACAGGCATCAATAGCAGCAGAAACCTCAGACTCGGTAATGTCTGCAGCCACCGCATTTAGCAAGTCATCAGGCACGCGATGATCTTCTGTCCATGTGAGGGCAGTTCCTGTACCTACTTGAGCACCGACCAGAAGGATTTAACATATGATTCGTTGGTACAATTTTGTAGACCGCGATTTTGATTCTGATGCGCTTAGCCATCAGCGACTCAAGCAGAATCGAGCGGTTGCACATAGCCCACCCCTTGATGTAGCAACTACAATGGCGTTGGTGGTTGGCTTGCGTTGAGATTGCTTGGTGGGCATCGGAGGACGTCCGGCAACATATCGTCCTTAAAGCGTAGCACAAAGGTGATCGAAAAGTTCTATGGTGGATTCTTACCCAGACAAAGTTTCACGACGAAAGCATACTAGGCAGCATCAGCGATACCATCCAGCGTTGTTCGAAGAAAACTCGATTGTGGCTTGAAGGGAGTTTGAATACAGTGGAGACTTACCATTAGTGCTTATCGGCTGTCGAGATTATCCTGATCGAAGGGAAGGTGAAGTTTTGTCAAGCCCGCATTTGCTCTCCGGCAGTGCGAAGCAGCTTCGATCGTAGAAATACACCTTACTAAGAATGGCGAAGGCTTCCGTTTGCTAGTATCTTTCCAATGTTAGATAAAAGCACGATATATTCAGGAAGGACTCCGAATCCATTTATTGTTTGTAACAGAAATTGGAAATTGATGAGGAAAAAACGTTGATTTAAAATTGCAGGTCGAAGTCCGTCATCGCTGTCTGGTCAAGTTAAATAAATCAGGTGACAGGTGATTAAGCTAATCTGATCAACCAACAATTACAGTTATCAACACGCAACTTTCTCACAATCGTATTCGAGTAGCTATGAAGCCGATCTCTCGCATTCGCAGAGCCACGTCGGTCGTGTGTAAGAACTGGCTGCCGCATGTGATTCAAACCATTGGCGACTACTTAAGTGGAAGCTTGAGCCACAACGTTCTCAGTGCTGCTTGCAAGGCTGGGGCCTCGATACCCACTTTGGACTACATTTTAGAGTGGACCATACCTGTTTGGAACAAGGCAGTGAAAGTTGCCGTACGAGGCGGGTATTTGCAAGTGCTTCGATGGATGGCGTGATGACGGCCGTGGACCCTGGCAAGAAGACTTTGAAGGCCTGCTGTAACTTGCAGCCACCCTCGGCCATCTTGATGGCGTCAAGTGGTTATTTCAATATGGGATGATCAGGGGCATGTTTTGGTATCGTGGGAAAGCTATGAACGGATACATTGGTAAAACGTGGCTGTATCCGTACAGCGCGCCGAAAGCATTGAGACTGGCAGCTGAATACTGACACTTCGAGATGGTGATGTGGCTTTCTGGCCCAAAACGAAACGTGCAGCGGAAGCTATGGTGCTATATGCAAAGCTGTTGCCCAGGGGCAACTCGCCATCGCGCAGTGGCTGCACAGCGTTAATCCAGGAGAACGCTGTTCTGCGGAGGACGTCGACGAAGCAGCAAAGAACGGGCACCTGGAAGTGCTGCAATGATTGGACGCGAACAACCTCTTCACGTGTACGGCGTCGGCTATGGACGGAGCTGCCGAAAACGGACGCTTTGAAGTTGGGAAATGGCTTCACCGAGTTCATCACAATGAATGCTGTTCCTCTGAAGCTCTCGGACGAGCGATTAACAGTGACAATCTAGAGCTGGTCGCCTGGCTTTATGAAGAAAACGTATACGGTAACTGCCACCGTGGTGCTGGACGATTGAGTGTATCAACGGTTGCTGAAGGTGAGCATATCGACGTGTTAAAATGGATGCATGAGCATTTCGCTGGGGCTTTCTCAAGCGCTGCGATGGATGCTGCAGCCAGAAATGGGCACTTGCACGTTCTCTCTTGGCTACATGAGTACCGACGGGAAGGGTGCTCCCACTTCGCCTCATGATGGGCGGCGCAGAATGGCCACTTGGAAGTCTTGAAATGGCTTCACAAACATTATCCGACTAAATTTCGTTCAGCCACGATGGACGTAGCAGTTCAAAATGATCATCTCGAGGTGGCCCGATGGTTGAGCGAAAATCGGACCGAAGGGTGCACAACAGAGGCGATGTATCCCGCCGCTACTGCAGGCCACCGCGACACGTTCCTGTATCTACTGGAACACCGAAAGGAACGATTTTATCTGCGCGAGACGCACCTGCGTATTCACGTAAGCTCCAATTTTTAATGTTGATATTCGTGGCAATCGTTGGGCTAATCGAGCGCCTAGTGATACACTGGTGATGCGAAGACCGTTTTGAAGCAGGGACCAAATTTGGTTCGAGAGTGTTTACGGATGCTAGCGGAGTTTGCAGTGATCGAGGGTCACCCAGCAATTCTGGACTGGGCGAGCCAGTTTGGCATTGAGTTTCATTCGACGGCGCCTATCTGTATTGCTATCAGGCGCGGCGTGAAGATGTTGCGGTGGTTTTGGGAGAACGGGTTTCGAAGTACAGATCCAGATTTATTGAATTTGGCAGTCCGATGTCACCAGTTGAAGGCGTTCGGTGGTTGTCAGAGCACGGGTATGTTGTCGACTCACTCGAATTGGTCAAGACTGCTTAGTATACATCAGTGTGTCGGTATTGCGGTGGGTGGTTGAGAATGGGCCGCCACTGGATTTAGTGACAGCTATGAGTCTGGTTTTCGACTTCGGTCACATCGAGATGGCTTGGTGGGTAGCTGAAGACGTCCGGCAGCACCTCGTGTTTAAGACGCTGCAGATTGATAAACGCGAAATTGTGGTGCATACAAAGTTTCAGGACGAAAGCGTGCGACGAAGTATTTGGGACGCCATCCAGCGGTGTCCGAACGATATTCAACAGTTGGCATCCGGCAGCGAAGCCTCGAGCGTGTCAATGGGCACGTTCACGAGCGAGAACTTGGTGCGCGTGCGGCCGGCGATGGTATCGGCGTCGCTCTCAGCCCCCGCGGGCTCTTCTACATACTGTACTGATTAAGTACTTACAAAACTCCAAACCTGGGAAGTCTTCTCCATCTGTGTGCCTTCACTACTTCTAGCGAGTTGTGATATGCGTGCACGAAATGTAATTTCAGCTCGTAGTTCCGTTTAACGATGCCCCCGGGGAGGGGGGGGGGGGGGTCGGACACTTGTTTTCGGAAGTTACTTGAATTTTCGACCAGATTTTTGTGGCTTGTTAAGTCACCAGAAGGAGGAGGCTAGCGCGAGCGGCCCCTTCCTCATGTAACAATAAGTAAGTGGTGCAGTCTCGCTGTATCAAATTGGAAAATACTTGCATTTCAAAGTCATCATCCTTACATTCTTAGACAGCTTCGTCGCTTTAGACTGCAAGTGCTAAACACTTACGAACGGTGGTGATCAACATACGTACTCAAAGTCGAAAGCAAAGCTTGCTTTGGAGCGGTAAAGTGGCTCAGTTGTCATCGAACTACACAACCCATATTTAGGTTACGGTAACCCCGATTTATCTGACAAACTGATACTGTAGGCAATATCTAATTTGACGGGGTACAAGTTTATCCAGTCAAAATAGCCGGATATCATTGGAAAATATACAGGTGTGGGTAGGTGACGATAAATGTGCCCTTGCTGCTCTGTCGCAAGAAGCGGTCTATCCATAGCTCTTCCGGCATATTATACACAGCACAATCCAAAGCAGCTCTGAAAATTTGGGTCAAATTGCATGTAATCCGGAAAAGTTATAGCAAAAACACCTCTCGATGCTGTCGCGGTCTGTCAATTGGCACACAACGGTGACTAACTGAAGACGCGACTGAGGCTTGCTTCTAGCAAGTTACTGACCGAGGATCAACGTGCTATTGTCGCTGCCGCTGTCGTTATCCCGAAAATCACCTTCATTGCACGACACGCTTGGCCGACCACGAGACAAGTGCAGGAATTACAGCGACGCATTCATAAATTTGTGTGGTTCGGTTTATTTGAAGAAAAGGGGTCTTTTGGGCGAGCATGGATTGCTGCGGACATTGCTAGCCTCCCTCGTTGCCACGGTGGACTCGCTATCCCACAAGTCAAGCTCGAACTGCTTGCTCTGGCGGCGACCAAAGTGGCTCGCTGGGCGCTCTCCAGTGACGAGTCGATGTTTGTTGTTGGAGCGATCCTCCGGCAACTGGGTCGCATGGACGCCGGCGCTACTTACATTTCAGTCAGCAATTTGGCCCGGACCCTCCTTCCCCACTTCATTCTGGGATGCCGGCAAGGCAATCTGGACTCGAGCAGCACCCCCCACCACCTTCAGCGTTGGTCGCCCCGTTGGCCAGCTTGATCAGGGCACTCCTCCCTTCCTCTGACGAATGGCGTGACGGATCGTGCCTAATTGACGTTCGAGAATTGAAAGGGTCAGCGACTGGGCCGCTCCGTCAATGGATTCGAAACCAGAACGGCATTTTTTGCGCTGAATGGCTACCGTTGATGGATATTCGGAGCCTTGCGTTATTTGACGGTTCTGGAGCGCTGACAGAACCTTCGATTTGTCACTCCAGCCTAGCGGATCGTGGAACTCTTGTTGGAGATATTGTTCGGTGGTATCACGTCGAGGAAACGCACATGACATTTCAAATAGCAAAGACTGGGTTTGGTGTCTCAAGTCCTTCGCAAGCTTACAGAAGGCATGTTGCGCAGTTAATTGGACTCCTTCTCAACATGCCTGAGCTGACTTATGGATCGATGAATCGTAACGAGGTGCGACTACTGACGAAACATACCGATCACCCTTATCCTTATGCACTTGAAGTGCTGCTTCCGGATTCAACTATGGCCAAACTGACCATTATCGGTAGCCCTGAGACACGCTACTTCCCAGTCTATGGGGGTCACAAAGCTCAGCAGCTCCTGGGTGCACTTCAAGAATCGCTAGGATCCACAACAGAGGTCACTGGGTTTCATCTCCACCCTCAATTAGACCGCCTCGCCTGTTTGTGGGCGGGAAGCGGCGATGGAGCTGCACACGGAAATCAATCAAGCTACGAGCGATGGATCGCAGCACCAAAGACGTCACGGCTGCTTTGGAACAGCGGATGAGCGCCCGGAAAGATGAGGACCCGGTGATCCATGCAGCACTAAAGTCGATTTCTTGGAAGCAACTTCGACGTTGGCCAGGTTTGGATGTATGGGAAGACTCGTGTATCGTCTCAAAATTCGCAGCGTTAAATGTTACGATCGACTACAGCGGAAACTTGGGTGCCCGCATGACTCGTGCGTTGGGCATCCGTATACCACCCTCACACACATTTTTGGCAGTGCACTTCTGCGGCGACGTTATGGGCGGTTTTCATAGCGAGATGGACTCTGCTCGGATTAGAGGCAACCTTAAGCAACCAAGCAAGCTGTTTCACGTTCCTCCTTGCTACTATCCCTGAAGGGTTTATTGATCGTTCGAAGGAGGAATTCTTTTGGTTATCTTCCGAGTCCAAGGAGGCTACTAATCTGCAACTACATGGAGCGGCAGCGGACTGCTGGAGGCTTGGAGTTGTTACAGTCCTCAAAGTAATTTGGAAATGGAGGAATGATTACTATGCTGCTGTTACCTCGCTGGCGACCTCGAAATACAAGGCCATTCTCAGGGCTCGGCTCCAGGACTCGTATTGCACTGTTGAAAACGCATATCGCGCAGCTGGCCGGTCGCGGGCTCACATACGGGCGATACATGCTGTCGTTGGAGCACTCAATGGACATTGGACACCTACTTTGTTCCACATAGAGGGTGGGTCGGCACAGTTTGGGTTATTTTTTGACGGTGGATCTCGTGGGAATCCCGGACCAGGGGGCAGTGGAGCAGTCATCCTGAAGGTCGACAGCGATTCTAACACGGGCAAAGCTGTCTGGGCGGCTAGCATGTCGTACGCGGCACCAACTACTACAAATAACCAAGCGGAGTACAGGGGGCTACTACAAGGACTCCTTCATGCTCAGCGAACAGACCACTACACGTCGTGGGAGACAGTCAGCTTATTTTACGACAGCAGCTACACCGGACGGCACCAAAAGATGCCCATTTGCGCACTTTGTATCAAAGATGCAGAGTGATTGCCGACAACTGTGGTGTTCGATCATGGTCGCATCACCTACGAGCCTTCAACAAAACGGCTGATGCCTTAGCCAATCTGGCAATGGACACAACCTGCAGCAGGCAGCTGCTTTGGACTTCTTTCCAGGAGACCTACAACATTGGACGGCAGGAGCTGCAAATGCTGACTTCACACAAACTTCAGCGGCATCGTCCACCCTATAACGGACTGTACCCTAGAAGGGTGCTCGCATGCAGACGACGTAAATGAGCGGAGGCAGGAACTTTGTATTAGAAGGCGTTAGGTTCTAAGTTACTACAATTCAAAAAAAGTAGGTACAGGAAAGTGTTAAGGTGACCGCTAGTGGCGGCGAGTACTACACCCTTCGGGGCAAGATTCATGTAACCATTGAGCAATTTCAAGGTACCCATTCTCAGCCGTTTTATCGACAGTTTGAACAGAACTTTTTTCTCCTTTGACCATATGCAGCCACCGCACAATGTCAAGGTGTCCGTTTGCGACAGCGTTGCTCATTGGGCTGCTTCGTGCGTTATAGATCCACTGCACCACTTCCAAATGTCCATGCCCGTGTCTCGTTTGTGGATTTGGGTGGCAAATTTGGTGGTCTGCACCACGCCCTGGAGCGATTCCCGCAGCCGTGATCTAAATCCTAAAATTCTGGCGGCCCCCCTGTCAGAATTTGATTGTCCCAGTGTAATGAAATGCACTTTTCTGATTCATTCTTTTCGATTTTCGGATTTGTACCGGTTTGTGACGCTTAAAATGCCGCTGGAATCGCTCCACTGCGATCCCCTTACCATCGGCGAAAAGCCCTCATACTTTGTTCGGAACAAAGTATGACATCCTTCTGTATAAAGTATAAAGGTACAAACTGTCCTGCTAACCAATTATGAGGTTTCCAGTTATGAGCGGCCGTTGGGAATGTGGGGCTTGTCATACTTGAATCTGATAACGTATGAGAGAGCCATTTGGTCGAATCGGCGCCATTGCTGCCACAAAGGTTTGTGGCTCAATTGTGGCTCAAACATCGTGAAACAAAAAAAGCACTATCTGCGAGACTTTATAGCATATGGCATTCGAGTTCCCATATGCCTACCAAGTTACCATAACACGGTAGCTTACCGAGTTACCAAGTTGCCGTACTAGGGCATCCTACCAAGCTAATCATGTGTGCAGTCGACGGTGCGCCTCACCGTGTAGATGCAGTGTCCTGGGCCTATTGCGAGGTCAGCTTCTTGACCGTTAAATCGACGTAGGTATCATAGCGGTTGCAGCATCGTGTCCGTAAACACTCGGCCATGATACGAGCTCTATATGATCATCAACCTCATCTCCGACTTGGCGTTCAGCTGCGCTGCCGATGTGGAGCTGACGCGTTCTACTTCTGCGTGCACCTTGTTGTAGCTGCAGTCACCCGGATTGCAACGTCGGTGCGACGGAGCCGACGCTTTCTTGGGCTCCAGCGGCGTAAGGTCTACGACACAGATCGCATGGTGGCATGGAGGCTACTCTGGTCTACACCGTACGCGCAAGCGTCGTCGGGGTGATGGATGGTATGCTAGCCGTCTCGGCAATGAGCAAAATATATCAATGATAGCTCATGGCTCACGGGCATGGTAACTATAATGACACGAGCTCATTGAGCTGGTACTGCGGTTCCCGGACTTGCAGCGCTGGCCACAGCGATCCGACTTGCACCAATTAGGTATTATATTCGTTGTATTTCAGTATGATCTCGAAGCTAGTGGTAGCTTGTGGTCTACTGTGGCTGGTTGTGGCTCCATACATTCAAACCTGTCAGGCTTTATCAACACAGAATGGTCCACGAGGACAATAATCAGCTGAGCCACAATTGAGCCACAATTATGTACATTAATTATGTACATTTTATGCAGTTCACTGATAGGATCTCAAGTGTAGTGTATATCCAGACGGCGAATTCATTCCTACTGCTTGACCTTTATCACACAGCGCGCGCACCTTTGGCACCCGTGGCGACCAGCCTTCGGGCCTATGCATGGCTACTCCTGCCGACGATACTCCACCGAGTAGTGGACCCCCTCCACTCATTCATTTGACCTGCATCTAGTCACTGTTGCTGCTGCTGTCATATGTTCGGCCATGAGTGCTACCCGCTCCAAGACGACGTCTGCTGACCGCGATGACGGCCACGGAGGTGAGCGCGGCGGTCGACAAGGACATGAACGATGTCGTTCATCCGTCTGCGGCTACGCTGTGACGTACCGCTGAACAAGTGGTACGATGCGACCCAACAGGCTGCGGATACTACCGAGAGACGGAGTCAATTTGATGTAGAACGGAAATGTGGTCGATGCTTACCCAAAATGCTTGGGTGGCCTCGACCCGCATAATCCTGTGCCACTGTAGCTTAAAATTGCGCTGGCTTTGGTGTACAAATGAACATGACATGCAGGATGGCGTGGACCTCTGTTCAGGAAGTAGTTGTTTAACCACAATAGAGCCTGGAGGCCGCCAAAGCATGCCATTGCGTTGAACTCTATACGCATATCATGACCTGTAATAGATCGCCCCACCACAAATATCACCTTAGGCGGGGTATGAGTCTTCTTTCAGGGTACTGTACTCCAGTTTGGTTTGCCTTTTGCATGAAAGCTCTCGTTTGTAAGAGCCACCACTGCAGGACATGGTTCTTGGTTCCCACAGACTCCAGAGAGGTTTCCGTGCAGCCATTTGGTAACTTCGAGGTGGCTGCGTGTTATTGTTGTTTCATACAGCACTTCCGATGAGCACTCCCCCAAACTGAGGTAGGGAAACTCCGCTCTCTCGCAGGCGATGCCGGCACCTGACAGTTTGCGTTAGTGATTGTATTGATTTTTGTTTTTTGTGTAATATGTACCTTAGCCACAACAAAGGCCTAGTATTCGAGTTACAATATTCAGATTGTCGACTATTCCGAATAGTTCATAGTCTATTCGACCCTTTATCAAACGCATGCATATATTCAAATGGGTACACATCCTGAAAAAATATAAAAGCGACTACTACTTCAGCGCCGATCCTTGAAAGTACCAACGATGGACTTCGGGACCATGAATCGTCGTCATCAACCACTTGCGAATGCTTTCATTCGTATTTTGGTTAGCCTTGTGGATTTTTATCTTGCACCACCAACCACCAAAGTAATAACGCATGATTCTCGTTGTTGACTGACTCCAGTACCAACTGCACGCGGTCATGTTCGTTCAGCCTCCAAGTTCCCTCCACGTGGTTGTTATTCACAGCCAACGTTCTAGCTACGGCTAGATCCAGGGTAGCCCCCCACGCTCGATTACCTTCCGCGCTAAAGGCACATTCCCTCTTTCCACATGCGGAACGGCGAGATTGCGTCGGAGCAGCTTCACCAACCGAGTGACTCCAGTACCAACTGCACACGGTCCGGTTCACTCAGCCACAAGGTTGCCTCACCGTTGCCATATTTCACAGCCAAAATTCTAGCTGTTGAAAGATCCAGAGTAACCCACGCTCGACTACCCTCCGTGCTCAAGGCACATCCCCTCTTTCCACAGCAATTATATTCAATTCCGACAAATCGATCTCGTAGCCTTGTTCCCAAAGCTAGAAAGCCAAATGTAGGCTCCCATGTTGCGCAGCCAACTCCGGTTCACGGATTTCGAATCCATTTTGATGAAACTACTTCACCAAAAGTGAGCATCCTGTAATGACAGCAGTGCGAACGGGGGCTTCTGAGCGCATTTTGATCCCGAATTTCTTCAGCCACACGAACATGTGGTCACAGTTGTTTCGAATTGCCATTTTGGCCATGCACTGGAAGCATCTCTGGACGAATTCAAGACGCCGTATGTGCACTTCCTGCAGAAGTTTCAATTGATCCCGCTCTTCATCATCGGCTGTCGAACAGAGTACATCTTCAAACGAACACAAAATCTCAACATGGGTTTCAGCTTCCACGACGTCGCGAGAAAATCCCTCAGTTGTGTGTATGAGCAACCACACCATCACATCGAGATGGCCATTAAGAGCTGCCCAGTCCATGGCTTCAGTCGTGCACCCTTCCGTTCGCTTTTCATGCAACCATCGAATAACCTCGAGATGGCCATTTGTTGCAGCTCCGTCCATCAGACAAGCCGAGAAGCTGTCAGAATAGTGGTCGTGTAGCCATTGCACTACCTCTAGATTGCCGGTGCTTGCAGCCTGGTACGGTGCATCAAGCGTGCAGCCCTCACTTCTGTGTCGATGTAGCCATTTTATCGCATCCAGTTGACCAAAATATGCTGCTTCGTCCATGTCATGCTCGGTGAAGGCGCCAGGAACATCCTCGTGTAGCCACTCTAGAATATCTAGGCGACCACATGCTGCCGCATTACCAGCAGAAGGCACACGCGACTAGCTCAAAACCCAAGAAACGTCAGTCGACACACATGTTGTCATTCACCCATTCGGCAACTTCGAGGTGGCCATGCGCGGTTGCCAGAAACAAGGTATCCGACGTGCATACCCCCAACTTGTTTGCGTGCAACCACTAAACAACGTCAAGATGTCCATTCTGGGCGGCGCCGTCCACAGCCCGAGACGTGACGCGTAGGAGTCGAATTGAATGTAACCATTGCAGCATTTCCAGGTGTCCACTTTTGGCTGCTTCATCCATAGTCGACTTTGACAATGTTGGCATACTTTCTCTGAATTCATACAGCCACTTTGCTACAGTTAGATGGCCACCGGCAACAGCTTCCTCCATTACTCGGATCCAGTTTTTGTCCTTTTGAGCACCGTACAACCACTGCACTATGTCTAGATGTCCATTTCTAGCAGCAACCTCTAATGCCCGTGGCAAGCAATGCAGATTCTTGTACGGATCTTCAACTCCATTCCAATAATCAATTCCACGGTCGTAAAGCCACCGGACGAGTTCAAAGTGCCCACTTCCTGCTGCAGTCTCCAATGCACGCTTAAAATCCCCTCTCCACGGCCGCGTCCGTCCTCTCGCTCTGTCATCCACCGAAACACGTGAAGATGACCACCTTGTGCTGCGTCATAGATTGCACTTGCCCAGTTTGGAGCAGTTCGGGACAAAATCATCGCGAGTGTACGCTTCGACGCGCCTGCCTTGCACGCTGCATGCAATGCTTTTGGATTCAGTGGCGAAGACATGAAGGCGTTCATTAGTTGTTCGACGTGGGGTAGGCAGCCCCCATGCACTGGCAGGCAACATCGGCACACTGCCCGAGTGGCCGAGATGATACGTTCGTTGGTACAAACCATGGCGGAATCCGTTATGTGCTCGGTCCTCGCAGCGCATAGTCCCCCTCCATCTCTAGCGTTACCTTCACAACTATCGTTTTCGCCAATCATACCACCAGTCACAGTGGCTACGAGGATCATGAATGTGTAGGTTAAATAAAACTGGATGACTTGTTACTTTCTAACAATCGACGAATTGATGAAAAATTAATTAAACTACCTGTATGTAATTTTTACCGTCGACGAAGCACACTATTGCCATGATTGACCACTCGAAGCGTTTACTCACCGAGTACTACACCGAAATCGGGTATGCACGGGCTCGTTTCGATGGACCCCCACAAGCGCCGGAGGCGCAGCAATTCTCTCGAGGCTACGGGGTCGACTTACCTAAATTGCATGTAATTCTGATGGCGTTGAACGTTTTCTTCTAGTTGCAATGGAGAATCCTACGTGCATCCGCACAGCCACGCGAGTCGTGTGCGAGAATTGTCTTCCCGCTTCAGGAGGCTGGCTTCCGCATGTGACACAATGCATTGACAGATACTTGACCGGGAGCTTGCGTCACGACGTTCTCAGCGCTGCTTGCGAGGCCGGGGCCTCGATACACACCTTGGACTGCATTTTAGAGAAGACCGCACCTGTCTGGAGGGAAGCAGTGCAAGCTGCCGTACGAGGCGGACATTTGCAGGTGCTTCGTTGGATGACGGAGCGTGACGACGGTCGTGGACCCTGAAGAGGTGATTTTTACAAAACTCTGGAGCTTGCAGCACGACACGGCCACCTTAATCTCGCCAAGTGGTTGTTCAAGCGGGGGATAGATGAACATACACAAGACTCGAATGGAAAATTCGAAAAGACTTGGCGGTATGAACAGTGCACGGCAGACGCGTTGAGTCTGGCAGCGGAACACGGACACTTGAAGGTGGTTCAATGGATCTACAACACACGAACAGCGAAGTGCAGCCGTGTCAGCAGCCCAGTGAACAAAGCTGTCGCAAACGGACACCTCAGCATCGCGAAGTGGCTACATCAGGTCAAAGAAGAAGGACAAGAACAGCAAGAAAAAGAAGCAGAGTGCTCCGTTGAAGACGTCGACGAGGCAGGCCAGAATGGCCACCTCCACATGCTGAAATGGTTACACTCGAACAACCTCTTCACGTGTTCGTCGAAAGCAATGGAGAGAGCTGCCCGAAACGGACAGTTTGACGTAGTAAAGTGGTTGCACCGAGTTCATCACGAATGCTGCTCTCCGCTCGTCCTGAACGAAGCGGTTGGCCATGGCAATCTAGAGCTGGTCAAGTGGCTCTATGAAAATGCCTCCAAGTGCTTCCTAGGTGGGTCTCACGTGAGTGTTACGACTGCCGCTGGATGCGGAGATTTGAGCGTGTTGAAATGGGCGCACCAGCACGCCCAGTTGTCGTTCAGTTTTCAAGCCATGGACGCCGCAGCAAGCAATGGGCACATGGATGTCATCTCGTGGCTTCATGACCATCACCTTGCAGGGTGCTCCGCGTCGGCAGTGTCTTATGCGGCATGGAATGGCCACTTGAACGTTCTGAAATGGCTGCACACGCGTTATCCGACCGCATTTCAGCCGGATCTAATGGCTGATGCAGCCTACAGTGGTCATCTCGACGTTGTCCGGTGGTTGCAAGAGAATTATCCGAGATGTAATGATGCATTGAGCTACGCTGCTGCTGGAGGCCACCTCGACATCTTCCTGTATCTACTTAAACACCGAACGGAAAGATTTTCCCTCTATGCGGAGCCAGGCGCAAAATATCCGGGTATTGTGCCACTTTGGTCCCAACATCCGACGAAATCAACGCCTCAATCGAGCAACACGCGCTCAGTTGAAGACGCTGCGGACTGTGTTCCAGCAGCGTCCAGCTTTCCTTCGAACTTGCTTGCGGTGTTTAGCGAGTGCCGCGTGCGCTACAGGCAACGTAGCCATTCTGGACTGGGTGAACCAGTTTGGACTCGAGCTGCCTTCGTTAGCGCCCGCCCGTAATGCTGTCAGAATCGGCGATTTGAAGTTGTTGCAGTGGCTCTGGGAGAATGGATTCGAGGCTACGGATCCGATGCTGCTGAAGCTCGCAATGGAGTACTCGCATCTGGACGTCGTTCATTGGCTAGTAGAACGCGGGTATGAGGTGAACTCGCTTGACCTGATCAAGTTTGCTGAGAATGCATCGGTATTGCGGTTCTTGGTGGAGCACGGGCCGCCACTTGACTTGGCAACCGCGAAGGACCTTGTTTTAGAGAACCGGAACATCGAGATTGCTTGGTGGGTACCTGAGAACGTGCGGAAACTGCTTGTGCTTGATGCGCTGCAGGACGAAGATGGAGAAGTTTTGTGGTGGATTTTGGCGCATACGAAGTTTCAAGACGAAGGCGTTCAAAACAGTATCCGTGATGCCATCCAGTGCGCTTCGAAGGATACAAAGCAGTGGCTTCAGGCGAATTTGAGGAATGTGGAGGCCTGCTGTTGGTGTTTTCCGACATCAAACAAGAGGCGGACGGCTCAATAAGAACGAAGCTGAAGTGTCAATGAAGCACCATCCTGGGTCTAGTCTGTTAACTCAGAAATAAATCATTTGCCATTGACGTTTGTGTCGCACATACCTACAGTCGAAAGAAGTTGCCTCGCATAACTACATTTCATTTATTTGTCAGCATGAAATTCACTACGTGTGATAAGCTGCCAAGGATACGACGACATTCGAACTAAAACTGGGTGCTTAATCGGGGCGCTCTCGAAAAGAGACTCTTGGTTGAACGGCTTCATTAAAAGTCCCTCGTTAATTATTGCGATCCAACGCAGGTGGAAATATACTACTACGAAGTATTGGCAATAGTCTATGACTGATTGTGTCGTCAAGAAAGAAAACACATCGTAAATGCCAAGCCTGGACGGCTGGGGAAGCCTTTACAAACGGAAGCGACTTTAGTACCAATTTGGAGCCCTCGTGCAAACGTACTCTGCTGGGTTGCGATCCAGTAAATAGGCTGCGCTGCCAGTCTCACGGCGTTCCGGGTATTTGGAATGGTGCACGCACTGTTCGGCAGGAAGTGGTCTGCAACTCCATTAATTTGACAGATTGATTTGAAAGAGGTACCCGGCGCAAACCCAATGGCTGCCATTTAGCGCACTGTGGCCGATACCAGCAGCAGTCCAGTCGTCTCAGGGGTGGCTGCGGCCCGTATTCTTCTGGAAGTGCATTTGTTGGAACTTGACGAGAGCATTCCAGTTGATGTGCGCCATCCTGCGGCAAGTTGTGCACGCCCAGGGTTTTGGCGACCTGTGTTGGCGATATGCCTTCGGAAAGCCAGGATCGCAGCCACTCCATCGCTTCTACTTCGGTTCGACCAAGGCCACCGATATGCGCCCAGTCTATCTTTCTCTCTTCGCCGTTATCAGCGCCGTCCGCCTCTTCGTCATACACCGTCCTGTTGACGCGGAGAAATCGTCTGCCACCAGTAGTCGAGCGCACGCCTTCCGCCACGATCTCGGCCTTGTCGAGCTCCACCATCGGCGAGAGAGCTTCGCTGCTTGCGGCTGCGCCAGCTAGTAGTACGTAGTACGCACGCATGTCGGCTTTGTCGGGCAAGTTGGTGGATGGGCGCTCGAAAGCAAATTGCGGAATGAGTCTTGAAGCAGGAGGCTGCGAGCTCGTGAACTGATGTCCACTCACCCGCACAGTAGCACTGGCGAGTGTCGATCTGCAAGCTGCATGTTGTAGCCGATCCACGAAAAATTCCTTGCAGACGTACGGCGCTGCGGAGGTGGCTTGGGGTACACAAGCAAAAAACCGATCAAGCCTACTTGGAGGTGTATTATAAACTTATATTAATAATACGTGCTGGAGGGAGGCAGCAGAATCCGTAAAATACGTGAGCAAGAGGTGTCTAGAGTATGATTTCACCGTTTCGCTAGTATGCTTTCTCTCACTTTCCGATTTGGTTTTGACCAACAAACCACGCAACTGACCTACCCACCGACGAAGTCCTTCCCAGCCAGTGGCACAACACTACCACTCGAACTTACTACCCGTTTTTCAAACGCTTCAAAGCGGTTGGCAACGTCGGCGAATTGGAGCAGTAGCTAGCCGTTGGTGACTCTGACCTGAAGCTGTCTGTGACCGATTCGCTACGGCGTTCAACGACATCGTGAGGCACTATGAGCGTCACGACAAGTCCATCAAAGGCATACTCGGGGGCTCCTTCCTTTTACGTGCTCTAGCGACGCTCTTGACCACCGCGTGCAGCATGTTCACGCCCATTCTGTTTGAACCATGGCGTAACTACATTCGCGGCACCTACGATCGACATGTACGACTTGGGACTGTGGCTTGGCACTGTATTCACCTCACACCTCGCGAACGGCATCATGCTACGCCGAGTTGATCGATCTCTGACTGACAGTGTCGCTCAAGGGACTGAAGGCCATGTGTCGCAACACCCAGCAAAGGCGACTCCAAGGCCGTGGGGCTCACGGTCGGTGGGCATCTCCAACCTCTTTTCGTCGCAGGTCGGCAACGTGTTCTGGGCATTGTTCGAGTTCAACGTCGTGTGGATCACCCCCATCGAGATCGTGGTTGTGGTCACCAGCCTGTACGACGGCATCGGCGTTGCTGGAGTCATTGTAGCATCGGTCGTAGCGAGCTTTAATATCGCCAAAGCTTCCGGAGATAGGTTCGAAGAGTTGATGCAGCACAAGAACAGCCGCATGAAGACCACCAAGGAGGTCTTAAACGCCATTCAGATCGCCAAGCTGAACGCGTGCGGGGGGGGGGGTCGTGGGTAAAATCCACAGGTCGTGTGCGACGGCTATCAGGAAGCTCGTGTTTCTTGGTGCGCTCAACATTTCCGTGCTGTGGAACTCTCCGTTGGTGGTATCGGCTGCATTGTATGCAGTTGTGTTGGAGATCTGCGGCAAAAGTGCTTCCGGTGATCGCGCCACCCGGAACTGCTAAGAGACTTTCACAAGTCGCACAACTCTTTTACATCACTTTTAGTTTTGACTTTAAAAAATCTTATACTGAGATCGATTATTTAGAAAACCACAAATTTCAGAGCTTCTTCGGGCCGCGGGCACGAGAAATGCTTGTCAGGTTATGTGCAAAATATTTGCCCGGTGCGTCTTATGCGAGCGGACCTTCCAAAGCACCAACCTTGGATAGTTTATTACGTCAGAGTAGTACGAATACATAGTAGAAACTAGCAACTAGCAAAGGAGCGCGGGTACATGAACTTTGGCTCTACAGTTTTTCAATCTCTAGAGATTTCAATCTTCGTACACAAAGCTTGTTCGTCTGGAATTAGACTAACCGCTCGAACGCTACTTTAGTTCGTTAATCGTCTTAGCTTTTCCCTAGATCCCAGCTCATTGCGACCGAGTTAGTTTAGCTCGCTGACCCAGTTCGGCTTCTTCTGCTTGTAAATCTTAGTCAGCATGTCCCACAGCCTGTACGCTCCAAGCTTGATACCTGTGTCCCCCTCCGTCGCCTCTTCCCATATTTTGTATTTGTTGGCCTTCGGCGCCTTCATCTGTTCCACAACCTGGGGTCGCGGTCAAAGTGCTTGAACACTTGATCGGGGTTGATACCGACCCGGTAAAGTTCTTCGGCTTTGATCTTGGCCAGTTTTTTTGCTTCTTGGTTAATGCCCTTTAGCACATTCATCTCCTCGGCATGGCTGAGTACTTGGTTCGAAAGTGATTTGGATCGAGTCAGCGAAGGCAACTTAAACATTCTTATTCATCCACCGTGGTGTCGTAGCGGTCATCACTGTCGCCATCGCCAAACTTGCTGGTCCGCAAGAACCTGTTGCGCTTGTCGGTGCTCGAGACGTTCTCTTCCGAGCTCAAACGGCCCGAGAAGGCCGTCTTGGAGCGCACGGCGTCGACGTCTGTGGAGGCTGAAAGCCCATCACAGAGCACGAGGAAAACGGCTGCAACAACCAGCAGAGCGAACCTGAACTGCATCGTGGCGTGGTCTTCGGGACTTGAGGGCTTGGCGGGGGAATACGAAGTGGATTTAGACTGACAGAGTGTTCGGTCCCAAGAAAAAGCGTTGGGTGGCTGGTGCTCTCACTGTGTGCGCCACGTAATCACTTCGAAGCAATATCTTGCATTTTGTAAGGTTTCGATCTTGTCCCTTTTAAGAACGGGGTCCCATGAGCCCCGTCATCACCCTTCACATATTACGCTGATTATTCATACAGGCGAGAGCGCCTATAAGAGAGTACCTCCAAAATCATTATGAACGGGGTATGGATTGTCAAAAATATTGAAGATCTGAAGGATTTGTACTGTAATAGTTTATCGATTCGGTTTTCACAGTACATTCGTTTTTTGCTCTCTCTTATACGCGCTCTAGCCTGTATATATTATTGTAGGATAAGGAAGCTTTCTCCCAACTTGGCATTCCTTGCGCTTCTCTGTCATTGCATCTATCCAATCAGGACAAGTTCTTCAATGAATTTAGCCAATCACGATCGATTCGTGTGTATCCCAACATTTTCCTAATTATTTTGGGAATTTACAGTCTTGCTAGAATAATATCCAATACAAAAGTTTAGTGTAATTGTTGTATTACTCATATTTGACCGCAAATTCCCAATACAAATCATGATTGTATCGTTGGTGGCTGTGACTCGTCTGCTTTCTCTCCTCTCCCATTTGAAAAGATGCAGCGGGCGCCGAGAGGGCTTGACATCCCGCAAGGGACAGCAGGGCAGGAGGCAGCGGCGATGAAGTGCTTCAGCGAATTCTTAGCTCTTGCCAACATGAATGAGGAGTCAATTGCTAGTATTGCGAAGTCGCTGTCTATTCCTGATGCTCTACCAAGTCAAAATGTTTACTCTTTGCTAACCGCCTTCTCCATTTTCTTGCAAACTAAGCCAAGTGCTCGAGGAGGCCGTCTTGCTAAGGCTACTGCTGTGGGCTATATGTCCCAAGTTGTGAACCTGCTCCGAGAGCGGTACCCTCTGTACTTGTCAGACACCAAGCGAATTGCGAAAATACGCGACAAAATGGGTTCAACTATTGAGGAGCGAAATTTGCTAGCTGGCGTGCAGACTGGTGAAGCTCCAGGCTGCACGCTCGGCGACTTGCGTGTTCTGGTGCAGGAAACTGCGATTAAGGGGGTTGGCTCAGGTTATAAGAGTTTGCATGACGCTGCTGTACTAACGTTAATGTGGCACACGTTTGGTCGAGCGATCGATACCTGTTTTGCTAGGAAGAGCCAGCTATCTATGGCGGCATCGGGGGAGGTCTTTCTGCATCTAGCTCGAATCAAGACTTCGGTGGTTCAAGGCATCTCAATTTACAAGGCCGCGACTCACTGGGAGCAGTGTATGCTGCACGGCCTCGGAATGCTGTTCGTCGGAGCGTCGGAGCCTTCCAGCTATGTGTTCCCGCTAGTGCCGCACGCGGCGGCATCGGATTTGCCGACCTACAGCCAAGCCGAAGCTATACTCTACTGGGAGAACCTTGAAGAGAAAGCTGACCCAGAGAACGAGCCACCAACAAAGCGCGTGAGAGGAAGGCCCAACGTGTCCAAGTATATTAACGACGTCAACACCATGGTCTGCGAGCGCCAAGCCCAGGCCTCTGCCCCGCTGCCCCCGACACTCACCGCAGGGCTGAGCAGCCACTCCTTGCGCCGCGGCTCCGCATCGTATGCAAACGCCTCACCGCAGCTTGCGATCCAGTGGATCTCGACCCGGGGAGCTTGGCTGCTGGACTCGCTCACGAAGGCGTTCGCGTACGTGGGTACCACGACACGCGAGGACCAGAGTGTCGGCAAAGTCCTCGCTGGATACCGAGACCCGCACCTGCCATGCGTCACGCCCACGATTGCCACCTTGAGCGAGCTTCTTCCTGCGCTCGAGTACGCCCAGCTGCTATCCCTGCGCGGCCAGCTCTTCAAGAACGTCAGCGGCTTCACGGACACCACGCTCAACGTTGACACCTTAGTCCTGGATGCGGCGCTCGCGTCCCTGCTCATCCATCTTGACGACGTCGCGACGGCAGTCCAGTAGGAGCAGGCTGCCACAGGCTTCACATCGCATTACCTGTACCGCTTCCACGAAGCTCTGGACGCAACCAACGTAGCGCTGGGAGCTCGACTCTCGCTGGACACGTGCATTGGTTGGGGTCGGCAGCTTCGCACGGCTTGGCAAACGGAGAACTTCGGACAGCTGGGTGAACGCAGCAATGGAAACACCACCATACTTGCCGCAGCCGTCACCCAGATGCTATCGTCCATCGCAGCAATGCAGCGCACACTTCAGAAGCTCGTCGCGGTCCACGAGAGCAAGTCCACCAGCGCTGACGGTCCTGCTCCTTGTCGCTGTGCTGGTCAGGCCCCGCAGGCGAGCACTGACACCGTCGTTGAAGCGCACTCTCTTGCTGGCTGCTTCTACAACTGGTACACACTGGAGCTGTGGCACACGGCAACCCAAAAGAAACAACAGTTTGTTCGCGCTGACCTCAAGGCAGGCGTCAACATCATGATCATAGCAGCAGGGGAGAGGTAGACGTACCAACGGCGCCACTGGACCGGGACGGCGTCGCGTATCGGCTGTGGAAGCAGCGTGTCTGGACGCTAGCGGAAGACTTGGACAAGAAGGTCAACGCTGCGCTTGGGAGTATCGACGGTAAAGGCCGATCCAAAACCGCGGGGTCGCTACGGAAGCGCTGGAGAAAGCTGCGCGTTGACCACCGCTCTGCGTACGACGCGCTCTGCTCAGCATTTATCACCCGCAAAGCGAACGGTGGCATCGTCGACTGCTTCACATCAGCTAGTCACCAATGGAAGCAAAAATACTTGGAGTCGTAGGATCACGCAGCTTGTATTAACGCTTAATACATTTCTATTCATACAACATGGATAATCGAATTCAAGGCGCAAATGCACCCGTCATCGCCATCCCACAACTTAAGCACAGCGCATGGATTCCCGTCAGTCCCGATACAAAGTCATACACAATAGAAAAACGCTCACATACCGTCAGCGAGCGCGCACGACCTCGTGCCTGGCCGACAGCTACCAAAACCGACAGCATAACACCCGCCCTGCCGGGTTTTGTAGCTGCTTTCGACGGGTCCTTGCGTGGGGCGCGTGGGGCGCGCCTGGGGGCACTCGGGTCTGGGGTGGTCGGCGGGGGAGGCGTGCGGCACGCTCGGAGCGCGCTGTCGTGTTGGAGACGCGGGGTGGAAAGTGTGAAGGCGGAGATGGCTGCGCAGCCTGCCAAAAATAAAACCTTAAGGTTTTCCTTGGCTTTGGAGCCGATAAACCAGTCCATACTTTGTTGAAGTCATTTGGAATCTCAATTATGATTGGCTCTCCTCATTGGGAGCGGCGTTTGGGACCTGGTCGATTAATGTACATGTACGACAACAACGCGCCCGACTCACGTTACAGGCTGTAACTTACAGCACCAATAATACAACGTCACGACAGCGCTTGGTCAGACGCATTAAGCACCTTCTAATACATATTTTGCTATCTTTGGGATGGGACAACACTTGGAATTTGTATGTTCGCAGTTCGTACGAACTGTGCTTGCGAGTTTGTCATCAAACGACATTAAGCAACCTTCACGCTACACTAGGCAACATTAGCCTTACGGTACACAAGTTGCACAACCCAGTCAGGTTTGTCATTGTGCAACGTTACCGGAAGCAGCTAAGCAGCAAAACAGAGCAGAGCAAAGCAGGCAAGCAAGCAAGCAATCAAGCAAGGTCATGTATTAAGAAGCAGCTGCTACTGCAGTCAAGAGATTGACTGGGGTAGATGGACCGCAATAACTACAAAGGTAAAAAAACATATCTACATGTACAGCATACTGCAATAGCAACTACAAAAAAACACCGAACTGCGAATCAAGCGGGCTTCTAAAGCCCGCGAACCAGTATGTTCCTACAAAGATTTGTCACGCACGTGGCACGCTTACTACATGTACAAGAGACTTTGGTCCATTTGGTATTGTGCTTTGCAAACTTTTTGGCACTTCGGACTGTAACTCGTACGACTTATCGAGCACGACTTATCTATAAATCGTATTCGAGTACGAATTGCTATAAGTCGTGGATAGTCAATCAGCACTAAGTAGTGCACAAACGCCATCTCCTGCATGATTTAGCACATCCAGCATGGATTAGCATCCGTTTGGCACTTTTAGAAAGTGCCATTTCCGAGCCAAACCGGGTTCGAAACACGACTTGAGCAACTTGCATTCAAAGCCTCCATGATTTACCACTAAGTACGAACACTAAGTAGTGCACTAAATAGGAGGGCAAACTGGATGCAAACCACAATACCATGTACCGATATAAAAGTTTGGTCCATTTAAGTTAGATTTGGAGAGAGCAAAATTAGTAGTTGGCAAGTTTACTGTACTAAGTACAGCCTCGAAGTATGTACTGTGCTGCATTGCGCCTTCTAAATCGATAGAAGTCGGACGTTTAAGTGCGAGGTTGTTTGACACCTTTTCTGATACGCATTATGGTTCTCCGATGTATTTGAATTGAAGTATTGAATATATTCGCACCAGAATCAGTGAAGCTGTGCAAATGTGCCTGTTCCGTAGCATTGATTGTAACGGTACAATATCTCATTCACCCATTTGAGATTAATTATCACTACTGACCCTACTAAAATGCATGAATATTTTAACGATACACCCGTTAAAGAAAAGACAGTATTAGAATTGCCGCCCAGATCCTCGCGCGCGGTAGTCTAAATGAATGTAAATTCTGACCCCCTACAGTACCAGGTCAATACAATCTTCCCCGCCGAGCGAAGCGAGGCATCGCCTGCAGCGTCAAAGCCAATAGATTACAAAACCAAAAAAGTGTTAGTTCCACAATTTAACAAAAATCTATCGATAAGTCTCATCTCTCACCGATGAACAGTGAAGTGATATGAAACGTTGAAGACCTTCAACTGCTGCAGCACTTCTCACAGCGCGCCAGGCTGTTGGACGAGGAGAGTAATGCCTGTAGCTGTGTCTTGACGCCGGAAACAATCTGTAAAATCGACAATAATGAAAAACAATAACTAAAAAATTCTCGGGGTCAAAGTAACTTTTTAGCGATCGGCACCTTGTCCTCGCTCTAGTAACGAGAAGACTGGGGCACGCATCGACTTCAGCACGTCTAGAACGCGCTCGATATGAGGGCAGCTCACCACCTCCGTTTTTCTCTGCAGATCGCAGAATCGGCAAATTTTGCTTGAATGGGTAGTATTGACGTTCTCAAGGCAAGGTCAGAATCTTTCAAACTCAAAGAACCACCCAACGCCGTTCATTCCATCTTATATCTGAGTCTAAAGCATCCATTGTAATTGAAGTGTTAGGTGGCTTCATCTGATCGGCTTCAAATTATCGGATGTGCGCTGCGCTAGCAGCTTTACTGCTATCCCAGAATAATACGATGTACTAGGAAGTAGTGGTGTGGTAATGATCATAGAGTGTATTGGTACCAGTTGTGCATTAACGCCGATGCCTCTATTTGTAATAGAAAACATTACGACGAACAACGTAAGTATTGTGCTCCCTCTGGTGGCATCGTGGTCATCTGACATCAATCTAGGCGGGGCTCAATGAACGGTGTAGCAGAGAATTTCTCTCTCCATTCCAGAATCCGCCACCTCAAGAAAAGATGGTGCTGCTTTCAATACAGTGCGCGTTCGTTGGTCTGGCAGGAAGCTTGTTCGATGTGGAGATCGACAATGGTGCAACGGTGAGCAGGTTGAAGCACGACATCAAGTGGGAGAGCGCGAATGCTTTGAAGGACGTCGATGCGCACCAACTGCAGCTCTTCCTGGCGAAGACAAGGGGCGGCGCGTGGCTGCGCGATGCGGACCCTAGCGTGCTCGAGTTGAAGAAAGGAAGGGTCCATCCTGACATCCAGACGATGGTCGATGGAGAGATGATGGAGCAGGCGTGGACATTAAGGAGGTGCTGGAAGAGAATTGCATGTGCGCCCTAGAGTCGAAACAAATCCACGTGCTGGTGAAGGTCTCCACACCAAAGCGTCACTGAATCCTGTCCACCGCTTTCCTTTGACGAGAAGAAGCCCATTATTCGAATCCCGAGAGTGTATACCGACGGCAGCGGGGTTAACATCTGCCACGGGGATCTGCTCTTATACCAGCGAGCTGAAGTCCAGGCGCAATTGGAAGCCATTTGGGTCTCTGTTATCCACGTACCTGCCATATTGTGGATTGTAGGGCCGCCTGGAAGTGGGAAATCGTGCGCAGCATTTGCATTCGCTTGCTCTCTGTCTCGATCTGGCGAGGAGGAAGGAAAAGTGGTGGGGATTCATTGCCGCAGAGGACTGGGGACCTTGCTGTGCGTTCAGTTTAGCGGTAAAAGCAAGAAACAAGCGGGTATTATTGATGCAGATGAAGTGGAAATGTTGCTTGCCTCGCTGGAGCTGTGTTTCTGGATGGCTACGTACAAGCCCAAAGTGATTACGCAGAAGGCCAAAGTGATTCCGTCTACGAGTCGTGCAGAAAGTGGCATGAGAGGGAACGGGAGCGTCGCCGCCTCGTGATTGTCAGTTCGATGGCAAAACCTGGAACGAACTTCCGCTGTGATACCAGTGCCGTCGTACCGGTTCAAGTATTGGACGGATTGAAGAGTATGGCGATTTCCCCCAACAAAGTCCAGGGCACTCGAGCCTTACTGGAAAAGGACGAAGTGCGAGAGGAGGAGTGTTTCCATTTGACATCATGGACGCTGGAAGAGTATCAGGAGGCGCTAGCGGACCCATTGTTTTTCGACCACGTGAGGGCAAAGTTCACCGACGTGGAAGGCGAGGTGACAGTTGCTGAGCGGAACCGATTGCTATCCAGCAAGTTCCATGTCGTTGGCGGGAGCGCGTGCTTGATGTTTGGTTTCAAAGTTGAAGTTGCAAAGTATATACTCAGAGACGCGATTGAGACCGTGTATGACATCGAAAGTCTCAAAAATGGAGTGATGGGCGCGCTGCCTTCTTCTCTGCTGATCGCATGGTATCGAACCGGCACCGCCAGTCATCGTACAGGAACTTATCGGAACTGGGATCTACCAGAGAAATGGCTGTTGAGCTCGTTTGTGGCGAGAGAGCTCGGGCGAATTCTCGGTCCTGGTAAGCTCCGATCAATTGCGCGCTGCATCGTGGACAACCCCTCGCATGATGGACGCATGTTTGAGCTGCTGGACGGCAATGCAGCGCTCAATTAAATGTCTTCTCTCTCGCTGTCGCGTTATTATATTATTGCCCGGTTACATGCTATGTGGGTCGCTACTATATTTTTTTATCTGCTTCCTGGTGGTTTGCTGACGGAGCTGTAGCCCTTGGCGGCCTGCACGATCTCGCGCGCGATCTTCTTCTCTTCCTTGAGCTGCAGCAGCTTCTCCTTCTGACGCGCGTTGTTGAGCGCGTCGTGCCGCTTCAGCTGCACGCGGCGGCGCAGCTCCTCCTCCTCGCGCTGCTTCTTCCTCTCGGCCTCCTCGGCCAGCTTGAACTCCTGGTCGATGATGAAGAGCTTGGACTTCTGCTTGTCCAGGTCCACGATGCGGCCGCGCTGGTCGATCAGCCCGAGCTCGTTCAGGTGGCTTTGCAGCGGTCGGCTCTCGAAGTGGTGGCGCAGGTTCCGGTCCAGCAGCGCGTTGTACTGCGGCAGACGCTCCTGGTGCACGCCCGACAGGTTGAAGCCGCTCTCGCGCTGCTTGAGGTACTCCTCGCTCTTCTTCTTCGACATGGAGGTGCCAACCATCCTCTCTCTTCCTCTCTCTCTCTTGGTTTGTTTCGGAATGATGCGCTCTCGTCGCTCAGCAGTCCGCGATAAGACCAAGCTTTCATGTCGTTCCAGAATCTCCACGCGCTATTTCAAGGTCCGAAAAAAATAACTTTCGGTCATCACTTGGACGTTGAGGCAGTGGAGACGGCCACCCCCATCCAGTTCGAGGCATGGAGGCGCTCCCACGGCTTCCAGCTGTTGATCAGGCGCTCGTTCGTGGACTGACGCACCTCGAAGCGCAACACGCTGTCTGCAGTGTGTTGCTTGATCTCGGCTAACACGCGGGTGACGCTCTGGACTAAGGCGAAGTCGGTCTCAGAGGCCTGGCTCTCTTTTTCTTCGTCAAGCTGCTCCGGGGCATGAGTGGAAGCCTCAAGGAGCAAAGACTTCATGGTTTTCAGCAACTCGCGAGTCAGATACACCGTGCGGAAGGCCTTGTCGTCGCTCTTCATGTTCAGACACGCGAACGCGACCACATCCCGAGGGAACATAACCTTGCTCGACCCGAGCAGCGGCAGCACCTTGACCACACTCCCATCCCAGCGTAAATGGCGATTCGGAGGGGTGGATTCGGTTTCTCCTTGGTCATTTGCAATGGTCTCACCTCCTTCCACGTGAGCCTGAAGGTCTTGAGTCAGTCGCTCTTGCTCCACCACCTCGATGTGGTGCTCGTTCGTGTACTCTTGGGACGGCACGAAGTCCATCCGCAAGATATCTCGCTCCACGTACTTCTTGAGCTGCGTCAGCTCTCCTGCAAAGTTACTGGAAGGAGCTTGTGACGGAGGCCCGCGAGCTGTAGAGACGCCTAACTCGCGCTGGAGGGCGTGGAAGTTGTCCCAGAACGGGGACTTCTTGGAGGGGAACGACACAATCTGCGTGCTCTCAACCAAGACGCAGTCTAGAACTCGTAGCTGCTCGTCGTAGTGCGATACCTCCAGTCCACTCAGGCACAGAATTGCGCCCTCTTTCCAGATATTCTTGTTGCCACGGCGGAATACGAACGAGGACGACGATCCACGCTTCAACGGACTGTGTGCCTTCGTCTTCGGCATCGTGACCTCCATGCCAGACACGCGAATGCTCATAAGGTGGCCGCTTTGGTCCGTCACGAAGACGTGCTCAACATACCGAGACTCCTTCGGCTTCAGCGCAGGGTCGAGGAGCGAGACTTCCGCCTGCCTCTTCGCTGCGACACTGGACTCGTCCTGCGTCTCGCGACCGGTAACTAGCACAACACAAACACAGACGTCGATCGTCGGTCGTTTTTCGTTTCTGCGGCCATCCAATCCATTCTCGAAGTTGGTTCTGTAATCCGTCGTGGCTTGCTGGACGTCAACACACGCTCGGCGACTCCGTTCCACTTGAGTATTGCCGTTCTCTACTCCATCCGTCATCGCATCTTCCTCTGGAATTTCCTCAAACCCGCTGTGCTTCGTGGAGCTGAGTCTCAAGGACGCATCCTGTCCACGCCCACCATCAAGCTTCCAGTTAACAGTCAAGCTACTGGCGAAGTATTCGACGCCTTCCTTCAGACCACCGGACAGCAGCTCCTCCGAAGGCCTCCAGATAGTCAAAATGCCGCAACCCACGCCTTGATTCTCGTTAGCACAGGGATGTGTGCACTCCACGTCCACCTTGATAAATGGTATTGGAGGCGGCACGTCGATTTGATTGTCCCCTCCCGACCACTCGTCCATCATCATGTCGCCATCATCCCCTTTGTGGTTTTTCTGCATCGCCATCCGCGCATACTCGGAACGAAGCTGGTAGTACAATGGTAACTGATCCTCGCAGATAATCCGCGGCCCTAGCGTCCACTCCTTGGACTGAAGATGCAGAACTGGAGAAACGCGGAGCACTCGAACGCGCACTGATCGGATCATCCCGCCACCGACCTCTAAGCTTTTCAGAGGCACACTCTTTAGCAATGAGAATGTAAGTTGGGGCTGCTGTTTTCGGTGTCGTGATGTTGCTGGAGTCACGTAGTGTAGTTTCTCCACGCCCAGTCGGGTATCGAATCGTACACGGCGCGTGCTGTTGTAGCGCAACTGGAGGTACGGCCACTGCGTCAAGTCCTCTTTAGCCAGCAACGGGTTCTTCCAGTGTGATTCACGGACGATCGCGCACTCGAGCGGGTCGATTCCCTCAGTGGAATTTTGCAGAGATGCATTCCACGTTGCGAGTTTAGTTCCAACGAGATTTGACTTGGAATGAAGCTTCCAGAGTACCGTCGCAAGGGGGGCGTCCGGGACGGCGTACACGGAATACCATCCATCTGTGAGGACGAGAGCCATATTCCAGCAGGGAGGGAGTTCCTGGTCCACTGCGGTGTTGTTTTCCGCAGGGAAGGGAAGCACCGCGGCTACACAGAGAACCATACAGCTTAGCGAGCTCGCATCTCGCTGGAGAATCTTCTTGACGATGGAGCCCTGCGCATTGTTCAAGTCCCGCTCGTATCGATGCATCACCTGCTTCAGACTTTGGTCCTTCGTCAAGTATTTCTCCATCAGAAGACGGGGGAAGGATCGCTCCGTGGCAGCCAACTTCCACACAATCCATCGGTAGTGATTCAGGAACCACGCAAACGTCGCTCCCGTGCTTTTGAGAATGTAGTTCCCTGCTCTGAGCTGGCGATAGAGCTCACGAGGGCCAATCGTGGCGTCATCGGAACTTTGAGGGGAGCACACTAATCTGCCATCGTGAGTGAAGCGTACATCAAGAGCATTTTCTGCCGTGATACTGTCCAGCACTTGGAAGCGAGACATATCACAGCCCCCTCCAGTCATTTCTTGATCGAGCTCACGATCTTCGCGTAGCGCCATCAGAAGGGAGAACGATATTTTCATGGTCTCCTCATAAATAAAAGGCCGGCCTTCAGACCTTCTTGTTTTCTGCTTCTTGTTCATTGGGGCTGTAGGAACGCAAGGTTCTCCTAGACCCTTTGAGGCGACGTTGTCCAGTTTCTTCTTGCTTGCAACAGGCGGGCGAAATCGCTTTGTCCCACTCAAGCTTGTCCGAGACCCCACCGATGGTTTCAAAGGTCTCCTTGCCTGTTGCTGCCGTGAACGCTGCTGGCCACGAGTCTGGGAGGTCAATCTGCAGTTTAATTGCTTTGATCCCAGTGATGCTTGCCACTTCGAAGCTTCCAATGCGGCCGTTTGTCGAACGAGCACGTTTTCAGGATGCACATTTTCCTTGTCAGCACCTCGGGCATGCTGAGAGGGGATATCACTTGATGGATTTGTCATCAGCCGCGACCGAACTGAAGACACCGCAGCGCCATTACCACCATTAAAGCTAGCGAACTCGTTTAAGGGTGCTCGTAAGAGCCCACTTGACTCGCCTGGCGAATCACCAAGGGACGACGCAGTCCAAGGCTCCTTATCCATGACACCTTCGCTCCCAGCTGCACCAACATTTCCAACACGCGTGTTATCATCCACATCACATAGTTGCCTCACAGCGCTCAACGTCACCGACTCCTCCGCCGCTTGCAGCTTCGTCTCGTACGCCTGCAGCCGCTCCTTGGACACCGACACCGCGCGTCCGGACCCCGTCGTGAACAGACTCGTCACCATCGTGGAGCTCCCGCCACGCCCGGCGCCGCCAGCTCCGCTCATATCGCCACCGGCAGGCTGCGTCGCAGCGCTCAACGCCACCGACTCCTCCGCCGCTTGCAGCTTCGTCTCGTACGCCTGCAGCCGCTCCTTGGA